ATAATCGGGATGGGAGTGTCAGAGACAGTGCGATTGGCACAGAACAGAGCAGGGTTTAGGGCTCTTGTACATAGGGTCTCTATGAGTCGCAAGTGACTCGACGGCACATAACAGCAACAACAGTCCTTCAGATAACGTACTCTGTTATTTTAACTTTGTTAGTGTGTATTTGTAGGCGGATAGAAAAAGAGTGATAGTTCATCTGTCTTCGATGTAAAAGCCATAATTTAGTTTTATGTTCCAAAAAGATTTCATCTTGCTGAAAATTTAATAGGGAATTACGTATATGAGCAAATTCCTTAGTATTTAGGTACATTTCTTGACCCTACAGTTTTCCCAGCCCTTTTTTTCCATTAGTACTAGCTCTGAATCTCTTAGAGTTTTGGAAAGCATTTTTAGAATAAGGAAGCAAAACCATTTTAAATTTAAATGTAATTTTGTGGTTGAGTTAAAAAATTACTGGAATTGGGTAAGCTAAAGGCATAGAGCTAAGGGAGCTCTGGGGGCCCATACATATGGAGTCACATTGCCAACTCAGAGGATTGAGATTATTCAAATCTACCAGTCACTCCTCAGGAGCTAAAAAGGCAGCTGCCTGATGTGCATTTTAGAACTCGTGTGTTTTCAGCCCATTTAGAGTATCAGATGTGAGTCAGTTCTGTGTCAATGGCACATAACAAAGGCATAACAAAGTGATAAATTAAGTTAAGCCAAGTGAGAGACTTTTAATTATGTCCTCTCAGCTGCAGAATATCTTTAGGACCTTGGGCACCGAAGAAGTCTAGAGTTGTAATATGTCTAAGAAGTCTATGCTACAGCACATTGTGCTGCTAACTATATGGCTGGGTGTCTGGCAGTTTGCATTCACTAGTGATGCTGAGGAGGATAGATAGGCAGTCTCTTCTGTTGAAGTTTACAGCCTTGGAGATCCAATGGAGGGTTGTTGTTTGGTTTTGCTTGTTTGTTTTCCCTTTTTAAAAACGAAGTAGAAAATAAAACAACAGTTTTTGATACACTAGAAATCATATTGTTTTGGGTAGTTAACATGCTGTTGAGTTGCTTGTGACTCATAGCAACTGTATGTACAACAGCCCTGAACCCTACTCTATCTTGAGCCGATTTCATTGTCTCTGACACACCTACCCCGTTACTGCAGTCACTGAGTCAGTCCATCTCAGCAAGGGTCTTTCTCTCTTGTATTGTCCTTCCACTCTTCCAGGAATGTTGTTCTTCTCCAAGGACTGGTTTCTCCTTGCAACATGCCCAGAGTATGTCAGACAAAGCTTCAGAATTCTTGTCTCCAAGGAGCAGCCTGGCTTCACCCTCTCTAGGATGGACCTCTTTGTTCTCTTAGCAGTTCATGGTATATTCAGTACTCTTCTCAAGCACCACAGCTCAAAGGCTGTAATCCTTGGTCATTGTCCAGCTCTCTGATGCAAAGCAAGTAGTAGTGAAGTGTATGGCCTGGATCAGATGCACATTAGTCTTCAGACTGACATTGTTGCTTCTCAGTACTCTGGAGAGATCCCTCTTTTTTGCCAATTCCTTCAGAGCAGCTTGAACGTCCTCATTCATCAACACAGGCTCTTGAGCATACTTTGTTTCATGAAATTCTTCTTTGTCAGTCAGTTCTTTTTTGGTGTAGTGATTCTTTGTACTCCCTCCATTTTCTTTTGATGCTTCTGGGCCATTCAGCATTCTTCCCACAGCATCCTTCAGTATTGCAGTTCGAGGCTTGAATTCATTCTTTAGTTCTTTCAGCTTAAGAAATGCTGAATGAGTTTGTTCGTTTGATTTTCCAACTCCAGTTCCAGAAATTACACAGGTTCTTAAATTCCAGATACTCTGAGAAATAAAATTTAGTGAAATAAAATTCAGGTTCATTGCAGCCAAGTCAGAACTAACTCATGACAGACCTTCTAGCTGGTTTTTGGAAGGCTATAAAATTGCACAGGAAGAAACTCCCCATCTTTCTTGTATGGAGAAACTGGAGGATTTGAACCACCAGAGAGGTGCCGACTTTGAGTTAGCTGCATAGCTCCCTGTAAACTAGGCCACCAGACTATGCTTAATGAAATACATTTAGCAAGATATATCTTAGAGAAATGAGTACCATAAATGTGAAATGGCACAATGAAACAGTCCCAGAAATGCCTCTTTGTGTATTAATTTCTGAGGATTTCAGATGCTATGATGAGAAGATTTTTATAGTACTTAATACACCTGGGATTCACTGTGACTCAGAATCTACTTGACAGTAACTGATGAAACAGTACTCTAAAGGAAGAATTTTCTTTGACTCTTTTCTCATACTCCTTAACTGTCATGTATGGGATATCTTTGATTGTTTTTTTTAAACCAAGAATTCTTAAAAACTGATGATGTAATTGAAATTAGAAATATAATCTATTTCAAGTTTGTTGTCTGTTTTATATATATTATGGGTATATATTCATTCATTGATTCAATAAATTTATAGGTGATGGTGAAGTGATAGAACAAGTCATAAGCCTGCAAACCAATGATAATGGTGAACGGAGCCCAGAGTCTAGTATTCTCGATGGAATGATAAGACAGTTGCAGCAGCAGCAAGATCAGAGAATGGCTGCAGATCAAGACCCTATGCCAGGTGCACTTCCAAATGGGGAAGAAACACCCAGAAGAGGTAATAAATACAAGGAATATTTTGCATTAATAATTTAATAAATACTATTACATAAATGAGTGACACAGATGTGAAATGACACACTGAAACATTCTTAGAAGTGCATGTGATGTATTAGTTTCTGGTGATTAAAGAAATAATGGGGTAAAACTGAATAATTAATGAACTTATTGTTTTATACACACACACACACTCATACATGCATTATGAACAACTTTTAAAAAATTACTAATTTTAATGAAAGTTTATAGAAACTTTGGATTTCCATTCATTCATTGTTGCACTCTTCTCCCTGCCCACCCCTGGCCCCCATTTATCTCTTCTCTTTGAAAAATAAAAGCTCTTTCATTGTTTTAAAGTCCCCCCCCAAATCCACTCCACTATGCAGCCTTTATTCTGGACTCCTGTTGTGACAAGGATACCTAATCATATATCCCTTTTAAACAGTTCTCCCCCTCATCTGTTTCAATGCAGTATACATAATTTATCCCATCTTTCTCCATCTCCCCCCAAACTCGATGTCTGTCCCACTTTACAGCAGTGGCACTATTCAGTATTTGTCCTTTTGTGACTGAGATATTTCACTCAGCATAATGTCCTACAGGGCCACCCATTTTGAATACTGTTTCATGAATAATTTTTCAGTGTAACGTTGTATTCCGTTGTGATTATACCAGAGCTGCTCTATCCATTCGTTTGTTGATGGGCACTTAGGTTTTTTCCAACTCTTTGCTGTTGTGAACAAAGCCGTGATAAACATGGTTGTGCATATATTTGCTTGGATGGTGGTAATCATTTGTTTGGGGTATATTCCCAGTAGTGGATTTGCTCGGTCTAATGTTACTTCTATTTGCAACTTTTTGAGAAAGTGCCATATTGCCTTCCATAGTGGTTGCACCATTTTATATTCCCACCAACACTGAATTAGGGTTCAAGTTTCTCCACAACCTTGCCAGCATTTGTTGTTTGCTGTTCTGTTAAATTTTGCTATTCTGACTGGGGTGAGATGATAACTCATAGTTGTTTTGATTTTTATCTCTCTTAGAGCTAGGGATTTTGAGCATTTCTTCATGAGTGTGTTTGCCATCTGAATGTCGTCTTTGGTGAAGTGTCTGTTCATAGCCTGTGCCATTTTTCAGTTAGGTTGTTTATCTTGTGGTGGGAACAATTTTAAGTAAGCAGGTAAGCAGTGTTACTTTTTTTTTTCTTTAATTATGAAATTTCATTCATTTTAAAGAACATTTACAGAGATTTTGGGTTTTCATTCATTCATTGTTGCACTGTTTTCTCTACCCTCCTTCCCAGTTCGTTCTTCTTCACCCCCCCCCTTGAAAGTCTGTTTTAATTGTCCAATTGCTGCAGTGCTTGTCAAAGCCAGTTCTGATTAATCTCCTTTGTCAGTGTGTTCTTTGCCATTCCTTATCACTCCTCCCTGAGAGAGACTTCACCCTGATTCATAAGGAAAAGGGGACGGTGTATTCTCTTAGCTACTTCCTCCTGAAAAGGGACACTGTAGGTTTTAGGGTGAAGATCTTCTCTTACTACTCTAAAGGGCCCCTTTGGCAATAGGAGTACACATAGACTGTTGTGGAGATTAATTTTGGAATTTAGATGCACTGTTATCAATTGTGCTTACCCGTACATGTTCATATCCTTGAAGATGTATCATGGAACTGTTGCAGCCTAGAAGACACAAATTTAACAAGTTAAAAGTACATGAGTCAAAAATTAAAAAGCAATAATATTCCAAGTAGAGGCTCTACTACAAATCAAGTTACAGAGGGAAGGTAGTTCTTACAATAAAAGGCCTATTGACTAGCACTTTGTCTATTACAAGATGTAAAGGCTCAACTATGTCATTTATTGTTCTTAAGACCTGGAGCAAATTCCATCTACCACTGGGTTGTTTTACAGCTCAGAAGTCCGCATGCAAGGCAGAGGTGAAGTAAGGAACTGCTTAAGAGGTTTTCTGTCAATTCCAACAACTAAGAAATAGTGAGAAGAGTTGGGATCTCAGAAGGCTTTTAGGACCAAATAGTAGGCTCTTGTGTCCAGGAGACAATGAATACACATACCAGTAATGTTAATGCTCGCCCACAGCTCTTCTGGGAGGATCTAAATCGTTGAAGCGAGCAGTGTTACTTTTATAACTTAGTTTACAGCAAATTATTTTTAGAAATACTAACTTTGGGGTAGGTATACGAGATAGAATACTGGCGTAGTAACAAGTGAGTATTTGTCAGATACATAAAAGGTTACTTGTCTTATTTCACTGTAATTAAGATATTTGAAAACGTTTATTGTGTGAATATACATAACTTCATTTTAATGAATATCTAAAGCTTTTTGTTTTTATCACAAACAAATGTTATTAACAGTTTATATGTGTTTTGTGGTACACATTGAAGACTATAGATAAAAATACAACAGTCGAATTTTTGGATATAAGTATTTTTATTTTCAACTTTATAAAAAATGTCATTACTTTTTACAGTGTTATTGTTATGTGCCATTGAGTCACCAGTGACTCACAGTGATCCTTTGTACAACATCCCTAGACTTTGCTGTATCCTGTGCCATTCTCACTGTCTCCGAGACACCTATCCTGATTATCCCAGTAGCTGAATCAATCCGTTTCAGAGAGGGTTTTCCTTTCCTGCACTGTCCCTCCAACCTCCCAAGCATGATGTCCTTCTCCAAGGACTGGTCCCTCCTTACAACAGATCCAGAGTATGTCAGACGAAGCTTCAGAATCCTTACCTCCAAGGAGCAGCCTAATTTAACCCTCTCCAGGATGAACCTGTTTGTTTTTTTAGTTGTCCATGGTGTGTTCAATACTCTATTCCAACATAACAGCTCAAAGGCATCAATTCTCCTTCTATCCTTCCAAGTCATTGTCCAGCTCTCTTATGTATAGCAAGTGATTGCAAAGACCATGGTCTGAATTAGATGCACCTTAGTCTCCAGAGTGTCACCATTGCTCTTCAGTACTTTGGAGAGGTCCTTAACAGCAGGCTTTCCTGGCTGCTGGTGCCAAAAGTGTTGACTATGGAGCCAAGCAAACTAAAGCTTTTAACAATCGCAATTTCTTCACCATCCATCCTGATGCTGCCAGTTGGCGCAGTGGTGAGAATCTTTGTTTTTCAATGGATTTAAAATTTACACTGTAAGTCACTGAAGGATTTCACTACTTTCTATGTCTGCTGCTACAACGTGGAACTCTAGTGGCCTATTGTTAAGGTGAACTGTGTTGCAATCCCCAAAACACCTACTTCTAACCCACTTGTTAATCTTTTGGATTGTTAATCCCCATATGATGTACTGCCTCTGAAAACCCACTGGAGGGTCAACTGTGAGTCAGTTCGGACTTGACATCACACAGCACCAAAAAGGATCGGAGCACCTTTGTCTTTTTGCATTACTTCATTGTCCTGGTTTGTTTTTTTCCAATGCTCTGGCCAGTGTATTGCCACTTCTTTTTTGTGAATATTTCATATCCACTTTAGCAGTTGCCTTCTTTGGATGGCTTTACCTTTAGGTTCCAATTAAATGTTTTTTTTTTTTGTTAGGGCTCTGTTAAGTACCTTAGTTTTGAGAAGTTTTATCTTTAATGCTAGTTTCCCTGTAAGGTATATTTTTGGTGTGTACTTTAAAAAAAGAAACACCAACAGAAATAAAAGATTTATAGCACTGAAAATATGGCATGTTAACACATAGATCAATGGAATTGAATTGAGAATCCAGAGATCAACCCATCTATCTATGGTCAACTGATCTTTGACAAGGAGATGAAATCAGTGAAGTGGGGAAACGACAGCCTTTTTAACAAATGGTGTTGGCAAAATTGGAAAAATATCTGCAGAAGACTCAAGCAAGACCCACACCTCACTCCATACACAAAAACCAACTCAAGGTGGATCATGAACCTAGGACTAAAACCAAGGACTATAAACTTCATTACAGAAAAGCTAGGAACAACACTAGAAGTCCTAATCCACAACATAAACAATCTTCCCAGTATCCTGGAAAACCTACAACCAGGAGAAGATAATGGGATCTTCTAAGACTCAAATCCCTATGCACATCCAAAAACTTCTCCAATAGGGTAAAAAGGGAAGCCACTGACTGGGAAAAAGTATTTGGTAATAACGTATCAGATAAGGGACTTATATCCAGAATTTATGAAATACTTGAGCACCACAAAAAGATAAAGGTAAATAATCCAATAGAAAAATGGGCACAGGATATGAACAGGCACTTCACCGAAGACGACATTCAGATGGCTAACAAGCACATGAAGAAATGCTCAAAATCCCTAGCCCTAAGAGATGCAAATTAAAACAACTATGAGATACCATTTCACCCCAGTCAAAATAGCAGAATTTAACAGAACAGCAAGCAACAAATGTTGGTGAGGTTGTGGAGAAACTGGAACCCTGATTCACTGTTGGTGGGAGTGTAAAATGGTGCAACCCCTATGGAAAGCAGTATGGCGCTTTCTCAAAAAATTGCAAATAGAGATACCATTTGACCCAGCAATTCCACTTCAGGGAATATACCCTGAAGAGACCATAGCTGACATCCAAGCAGATATATGCACACCCATGTTTATTGCAGCTTTGTTCACAATAGCAAGGAGTTGGAAACAACCTAAGTGCCCATCAACAAACGAATGGCTAGAGAAGCTGTGGTATATTCGCACAATGGAATACTATGCTGCATTAAAAAACAAGGAACTCATGCAATATTATTCAAAATGGTTGACTCTGGAGAACATTATGCTGAGTGAAATATCCCAGTCACAAAAGGACAAATATTACATGATGCCACTGTTGTAGAATGGGACTGTCCTTGGGGTTGGGGAGAGACTGAGTAAGATGGGTTCAATAATGTATACTGCACTGAAACAGAGGAGGGAGAAAACTGTTTAAAAGAGATATATAACTAGGTATTTCTGTCATCACAGGAGTCTAGAGCGAGGGCTACATGGTGGAGGGGACCTGGGGGAGGGTTTGTAAAACAATGACAGAATCTTTTCTTTTACTTTTCCATAATTTTTGACTCCTGTACTTATAACTTGTTAGTCAAATTTGTGTCTTCTAGGTTGCAACACCCCCATGATACATCTTCAAGGATATGAACATGTACGGCCAAGCACAATCAATAAGAGTGCATCTAAATTCCAAAATCAATCTCCATAATAGTCTATGTGTTTCCTACTGCCAAAGGGGCCCTTTAGAGTAGTGAGAGAAGATCGTCACCCTGAAACCCACAGCGTCCCTTTTCAGCAAGAAGTAGCTAAGAGAATACGCCATCCCCTTTTCCTTATGACTCAGGGTGAAGTCTCTCTCAGGGAGGAGTGATAGGGAATGGCAAAGGACACACTGACAAAGAAGATTAATCAGAACAGGCTTTGACAAGCACTGTGGCATTTGGACAAGAACAAACTGGGAGGAGGGTAGAGAGAATAGTGCAACAATGAATGAATGGAAACCCAAAATCTCTGTAAATGTTTATGAAAATTAATAAAATATAATTATAGAAAAAAAAAAGAAAATATGGCATGTTAATAGTAAATACTTGTGGTGTAGTCATTTTTATATTTTGGATTTTGTTTTCCTCCCTTCCCGGAAATTCTCTTCTGAGAAGCATTTTCAACTGTGATCCGAATCAGAATAGTTTGCATTTGTACCCAGGTCCCATCTGCTGCTTTTACAGTATGGATGGTAGAAACTATATATTTTTCTGACTCATTGATCCTTTGAACTTATTGATGTACGGAGTCTTCAGTTATTTTTCACTCTTCTTTGCTCTGAAGAGAGAAAAGCCCAATAGATCTTAGATGATGGTACCTGTTGTTAAGTGCCATGTAGTTGTAGATGACCTGTAGCAACCCTGTGAGTGAAAGACCTGAACACCTGTGTAACTTTCATTGTTTCTCCAAGTTCATAGAGTTTCTGGAGACAGGCTGTTTTGGAAGTCGATGCCACTCTTGCTTCCAAGCTTTTTTTAATCGGGGAGCTCCACCAAACACTGTCCATTGTGGGATTTAAAAATTTTGGTTTAATAATAAGTATTCTGTTTTGCTGTATTGGTCTCAGTTACATTATTTGGAGTTTTTGTTGGTTTGTTTTTTTTTAAGTTTCTTCAAAGGTTCATTTGTTTTTGACATGTACTTTAATAGGTGGAGGAATGTGTCCTTGCTACATGCTGTTGTTGTTATGTGCCGTCGAGTCACCTGCGACTCATAGCGACCCTACTATGTACAACAGCCCTAAACTCCGCTCTGTCCTGTGCCAATCGCACTGTCTGTGACACTCCCATCCCAATTATCCCAGTCACTGAATCAATCCACCTCATAGAGGGCCTTCCTCTCCTGCGCCGTCCCTCCACCCTCCCAAGCATGATGTCCCTCTCCAAGGACCGGTCTCTCCTCACAACATGTCCAAAGTATGTTAGACAGAGCCTCAGAATCCTTGCCTCCAAGGAGCCACCCGGTTTAACCCTTTCCAGGACAAATCTGTTTGTTTTCCCAGCAGTCCATGGTATTCTCAATACTCTTCTCCAGCACCACAGCTCAAATGCATCAATTCTCCTTCTATCCTCCTTGGTTATTGTCCAACTCTCTGATGCATAACAAATGATTGCGAAGACCATAGCCTGTATCAGACGCACCTTAGTCTCCAGAGAGACACCATTGCTCTTCAGTACTTTGGAGAGGTTCCTAAATGAAATTTTTCTTTTTCATTTTCCCCTAGGTTTTAGAAGACTAAGTTTAGATATCCAGTCCCCTCCAAATATTGGTCTACGTCGTAGTGGGCAAGTTGAAGGTGTTCGTCAAATGCATCAAAATGCACCTCGCAGTCAAATTGCTACAGAGCGTGACCTGCAAGCTTGGAAACGAAGAGTGGTTGTGCCAGAGGTACCACTAGGCATATTTAGGTTTGTTTTAGGATATCTATTTCTGTTATTTCTGTCTAAAAAAATAAATTCATATGATTATATGTTAGTTGTATAAATAATTATACAAATACATTTTAGTAATGGATGAAAAACTGTTTCAGTTGTGACTAGAAAGTAACAAAATAATACAAGTTTTCACTATAGTATATTTTTTATAGTCATTTCTTACTCCATCTCTGTCAACACCTACTTGATAAACATCCTTCATCATTACTTTTTGAAAACTCATATGTGAGCAATAGAATTTTAATCATAAGTATTTCAGTGTGTGTTTTTAAAAGCTGAAGTATTGTTTAAAAATAAAATTAACATTTTCATATCTTGAAAAAAAGTTCAATTTAAACACATATTCAGTGTTTTGATTTTAATTTTTCAGATGACTTAATGTTTTCAGGTTCTTTGAGATTACCAAGACAACTAGTTACAGATTGCTACCAGAGCTTCTGTCAGGGTTTGGTTTTTTTGAAAGATTGCTTTGTGGGTGGTATACTTCTACCAGTCGGCACATAATAGCTAGTCAGTCTTCATATTATTCATTCAGAATTAGAGAATAGTGAATTGTGAACTCTTACTAACTCATTTTATCTTGGATTTTTAAAATGGAAATTTGCCCAAATTTGTAGGAAATTGGAAGACTTCAGACTAGAGAAAGGTGAAGAAGAAAGAAATCTGTATATATTAGGAAGGAAAAGGAAGACCCTCCAGCTCTCACAAAAGGTAACCAAATATATTTTACTTAAGCAAGTTAGAAAATAAATTGAAATTTGATATCATAAGGAAGGTATCATTGAACATTATATAAATACTATGTTTAGGTTTAAGTTTTGAACATTCTGAAGGGTTTTATCTGACAATATTACTGAGTAAATGAAGTAAAGAATATTTGATAACTTCAAGTCCTCTGGGATGTAATAATAAAACAGATTTAAGCTTGTGCAGCTATAAAGAAAAGTTTGGAAGCTGTCTGATGCCAGAAAGTTTCATAGATCATGGAAGATCACTGTTAATGACTACTGGAGTGAAGAAGTAGAACATTGTTTAATTACTAGCCATAGTATCCAATTTCTATCACTTTGCTTTCTCGCATATCTTAAGTACCACAATTATTTAGCTTTACTTTTTTTGTTTGACTAATTCCTAAATCTTTTTATTTTTTTATGGGTAATTAGTGTTTTTGATTTGTGTGAAATTTTACAATCATGCTGCTTTTTATTACACATTTTAGTTTATAACATTAATTACAATTGATTAATACAATTATTAATGATAATGTATAATCATACCCTTGTTGTATGTTAAAATTCTCTTCACCCAGCTTACATACTTCTGCATCTCTTTCTCCTTTAAATCCCTTATAGCCATCCAGGAATGATTCTGTCTGTGTGTAAACTTTTCCTCCGCTTCTTTTGAAAGTTGTCATATGTTGTTGTTGTTGTTATTGTTATATACCATTGAGTCCCCTGTGACTCATAGCGACCCTTTGTACAGTTGCCCTAAACCCTAGTTTATCCTGTTCCAATCTCACTGTCTCTGACATACCTACCCCAATTACCCCAGTCACTGAATCAGTCCACCTCATAGAGGAGGGTGGTCTTCTCCTGTGCTGTTCCTCCACTCTCCCAAGCATGAAGTCCTTCTCCAGGGACTGGTCCCTCCTTGCAGCATGTCCAAAGTATGTCAGACAAAGCTTCAGAATCCTTACCTCTCCAGGGTAAACCTGTTCATTTTCTTAGTAGTCCATAGTATATTCAATATTGTTCTCCAACACCATAGCTCAAAGGCATCAATTTTTCTTCTGTCCTCCCTAGTCATTGTCCACCTCTCTGACACATAGCACATGATTGCAAAGACCATGGTCTGAATTAGATGCACCTTAGTCTCCAGAGTGACACCATTGCTCTCCAGTACTTTGGAGCAGTCTGTAACAGCAGACTTTCCATCACAGTACATCTTTTAATTTCCTGGCTGCTGGTGCAAAGAGTATTGACTCTAGAGCTAAACAAACTAAAACTTTTAACAAGCTCAATTTTTTTCACCATCCATCCTGACGTTGCCTGTTGGCCCAGTGGTAAGAATTATTGTCTTTTTGATATTGAACCTCAATCCATTATTAAAGGCTGCATTCATTGACTATCTGCAGCAAGTGCTTCAGGTCCTCCTCACTTTCAGCAAGTAGCATTGTGTCATCTGCATAATGCAGATTGTTGATGAATCTTCCACCAATCCTGATGCCACACTTTCCCTCATATAGCCCAGCCTCCAGGATAATCTATTCTGCATATAGGTTTAAAAGGTATGGAGATAGGACATCTATGGTGTACACACTTCCCAGTTTTGAACCATGCAATGCTTCTGTACTGACGACTGCTTCCTGGTCCAGGTATGTTGTTGTTGTTAAGAGCCGTCGAGTGGCAGGCGACTCATAGCGACCCTATGAAGGAGAGGCCTAGACGCTTGGGTGCCTTTCATCCTCTCTCCAGGTTCATAGGGTTTCTGGAGGCAAGCTATTATGGAAGTGGATGCCACTACTCCTTCCAAGCTTGTTTTAATCGGGAAGCTCCACCCCACTCTCTGCCTGCATTAGGTAGCCAACCATTAACACATTTGACACATCAGTGTCACAGTGCTCAGCCTCACAGCAACCAGAAGTGACCGGTCCAGGTATAGGTTTCATATAGACACAGTCAAGTGTTCTGGGATTCCCATTCTTCTCAGCATCAGCCACGGTTTGTTGTGATCCATGCAGTCAAATGCCTTTGCATAATCAGTTAAACACAGATAGACATTCTTCTGGTACACCCTGCTTTCAGCCCAAGATCTGTCTAACATTAGCTACAATATCCCTAGTACCGTGACCCCTTCTAAACCCAATTTGCACTTCTGGCAGTTCTTTGTTCATGAGCTGTTCCAGTA